CTTTTTTTCCACAGGCAGCATAGTATCACTGGCTAGAGTCAACAGAAAACACCGTCTGGTGTCACCAGCTGAGCAGAAGGCCCTCGTGCTGTTTTGCATTTATCACGGGCACTTCCTTCAGGGAAGATGAGACATTCCCACGGGTGACAGAGAGGCGCATTTCTGCCCCTTCGGAGAGGAGGCTGTGGTCGCCTCAGCAGCTTCCTGAGGGACTTGTATCTGAGCCCGGAGCTGGGGATGGAGACCAGAGCTCCATGAAGTGAGCAGCCTGGGGAAAGGACCCCCATCGCAGGCAGTGACAGGAAGACGCTCTCCAGGAGCAGGATGTGCACCAGGGGCAGAGCCCTGGAATTTATAGACTCACCGAGACTTGAAGGACCTTTCCCCTCCTTGTTTTACAGGTGAGGAAAAGAGATAAAGGAGGGCATGAGACTTCCAAGATCACCCACTGAGCTGATGGCAAAGTTGATGTGCTGCAGGCATAGGACTTTTTTTTTTTTTTTTTAATCACATCCCAGCGCACCAAAGAAGAGGGGATAAAGTCTGCTCTGGCCAGGCTGACAATCAAGTAAACATGCCTTTTGTTTTTTGTTTTTTGTTTTTTAAGAGTAATGTTTTGAGGGGCCCCTGGGTGGCTCAGTCAGTTAAGCATCTGACTTTGGCTCAGGTCATGATCTCTAGGTTCGTGAGTTTGAGCCCCACATCGGGTGAGCCCTGCTTCTCTCTCTCTCAAAAAAAAATGAGTAATATTTTAAAAAATATTTGCGGAATAGGGTGCAAATGTGAGCATGAAGACACATGGCTCTGTAAGTGGGGGAGAGGACATGAGGCTAGGCAGGCCAGATGAGAAATCTGGCACATTTTTCAAACAGCGCTCAACTCTTTGGTTGTCTAATAATTTCTCCCAGTTCTTTGCAAGATTAAGTTCTACAAGCCTTGCTTAACACGCAGAAATCTGCCCATCTTCAGGCTCAGAACACAGAAGACATGTGTTTTCTAGAATTGCCAAGGCGCGCTGCCCAAGCTCTGTAAGTGGGGCCCAGGGTCCTTGTCTGGTCACAAACCAATTAAGTTAAGTGCTACTGAAATTGCTTTTTATCATGTAGATAAGAAGCAGTTCACACGTGAGATGCAAGCCTTGACACATAAAAGCTTATTCATAAGCCTGGGCCTAGTGACTTAATAGTCACACTAAGACCCATATAACATATTTGTGAGATGGAAATGAGCTGTCAAAGAACGAGAGGGCTCTGGGGATCACAGATATTAGAAGTGTGTAACAGCTCCTCTGTCTCCGTAAAATTGCCGACAATCACCAGTGGCAGCTCTCTGATAATCCCGCTGACGGCTACGTCTGCTGACATCAGAGGAACTGAGGCCAGTCTGAATGGCTGGGCTGGTGGAAGAGTGCTGGGTGGCATCCCATGGCGAGGTCCAGCCTTACCAGATTGCCTCCAGGCAGGAGCGCCCAGCTGACCGTTGCTTATTTCCGTCTAAACATCTCCATTTCCTTTGAGGAACCACTCTCCACAACCCGCGCCCACGTAGGGAGCAATTCTGGTGTGTTCCTTCCGTGTAGCAGGGGGCCATGGTTCCCCTGACCATACAGATGGGTCAACATTCCTTCCTCCAACAAGTATGCACTGAATGCATCTTGGCACTGGGGCTTCTGCGGTGAGCGAGGCACCAAGCTCTCTGCCTACGTGGAGCTCATACTCTGCTGGAACGAGCAGGCACTGAGCCCCCAGACCAACGAGTAAACCATATCATTTCTCTTTTTAGAAATAATGTTCATTTATTTTTGAGCAAGAGAGAGCGGGTGGGGCAGAGAGAGAGAGGGCAGAGGGTCTGAAGCAGGCTCTGCGCTGACCGCACAGAGCCCGACGAGGGGCTCGAACTCAGAACCGTGAGATCGTGACCTGAGCCGAAGTCGGAGGCTTAAACGACCGAGTCACCCAGGCGCCCCGTAAATAATATCATTTCTACAGTGAGGAGTGTCAGGAAGAATATAAAGCGGGGTGGCAAATGGAGACTGCCTAGCGGACTCAAAAAGAAGTGTCAATGGAGCAGAGACCTGAATCGTGTGAAAGAACCAGGTGTGGGACTACCTGGGAGAGAACACGTGACCTGTGATGAGCCCCAGCCAAACATTTCCCCAGTCACGGCGACTGGTCCAGAATGGGCTATGTGATGCACCTCAGGCCAATCAGGAATGTTTTCTGTGAGGCCAAAGAGAGGGTCTTTGCCTTTTGAGTTTCAGAGAGGTTGCCAAAACTCCCCATCTCTGTACGATGGGAAAAGGTCATCCACGGTCAGAGAGAACGAAGCCAAGAAAGGCGAGTCCTGGCTGCCATCACCCCTGAAGCCAGACCCACCCTGTACCCCTCAGATCGTCCTTCTAGTAAGGACTTTCTTTTCCATCTGTGAGAAATGTGCTTAGCTGTGGCTACTGTGTACAGGCTCCAGCCACCAGCTCTCCTAGGGGCCACCCAGCCTTCAGACTGAGATCACACTTTTCTCCGATGGCCCTAGTCAATGACGAACAAGGTGGTGATAGCCACGATCACATTCTCCCTGAGCATCCCAAGGCACAAGGACCTAGCCCAGAAGTCCCCAAGCTTTCTCACTTCGTGGCATCCTTAATGTCTCAGTAATTTTTTGATGGCCCTCCGTAAGCCAAAAGAGATTACCTTCCAGTTCCTTTTATTAAACAGTTAGGTCCAAACAAGGTGACAGACGTAGTTTGTGGAACGTCTGCCAAACGTGTCACCGTGTTTCCCAGGGAATTTTAAAATACCCTGCCGTGCGGTGGAGAATCTGAGTGCGCAGTTCAGAGCTGCAGGCGTAACTATTGCAATCCAATGCAGGGCTTGTCCAAGGCAGTTGGTGCTCCAGAACTCCTGGAGGGGCCGGCAGATACTTTGTCAGAGCCACTCTGGGGACCGCACGCTTCCCCGGTGTCCAAGCTGTCTTCCTCCCTTTTCCTTTCACAGACGTTACTACCCAGTAAAATCTTTGCATCTCTAACTCCATCCCCGCATCTCTTTCTGGGAGAGACCAACCTGCAACATATCTCTTGACTACCTGGGACAATGTAAGGGAACCTCATGAAATCCATCCCTGAGGTCACATCTAATGAGCATATTCCAAAAACGTAGAACTGATAAACTTACCAGATCAGATCCCCTTTCAGTGTCAACCCATTATGGCTGTTCTATTCATCTTTGCGTCAGCAGCCCCCAGCATGCTATTGGTCACAGAGAAAGTACTCAATAATTGTTGATCGTATATTTGATGAGTGAATAAATCATGTATAAAAATATACACAACATCTGTCAGCATTTTAATCAAAGTCTTGAATAAAAGACAGCCACAATGTGTTCCATGGTTTTCTTCTGGAATTCACTTGAATCTTCAAAAAGTTCTACCTATCACTTACATATTCCTCTCCCAAACTATATTATAAATTAGTGGCGAGATTTCTGGCAGAAAATAAGTATTTGGGGAGAAGCTATTTCCCTACCAGGTGAATGCATCATTGACACTGAATGCAGTTGATTTCATCTGTAAGATTAATAAGTAGATTGGATTTTCTTAATGTGTGAGAAACCCAAGTGAATTTCAAAACCCAATCATTAGTGAACGAAACCAAGCTTGAAAACACAACTAGACAAGAAGTTATGTCTGTGCTCTATAGTATCTGTCCCTAGGCATTTTATTGCCATATTTAATACACATTACAATAAAGACTTAAAAAGTCTAAGACAAAGAACACCTAATGAAGGCAAGCCCAACTCAGAACAGGGTTTCCAAAGACAGAGGTGTTTAATTCCGTTTGCTGGAGACCTAAATCTACAATAAAGCTCTTGAAACATTTCCCCAAATGTGCTGCATCGTATAAACTTGGATTTCTCTCAACCAGATGAGAAATGAGGAGGCGAACCGTTTGATGTGGGTTTCCATACCTACCTTCCTGGCACTCCCCTTTATCATCTAGAAGCACCATGCATCCTCTAATGGAAAGAGTCCTTGTCATAAGTCAGCCCAGACTGCACTTCCATTAGTGCTAAATGCTCTTTTAAAGTGAAAAGAAATACAGGAGACTCAGCCCTATATTTCCCCTCTCTGCAGAGCCTTCCCGGAAGGCAGCAGGGGGGAGCTACCCGGACCATCATGGCCTTATTTACCGCTCCAGTCATTTTTCACACTCTTCCAGAAGCAACTCTGCTTTCCAGCTCAGGTGTATCAGCAGATGCCCTGGGATTTCGCACCTGCTGTGACGGAAGACACAAGCACAAGTTAATTAAGTCTATTGTTCAAACAATTTGTTTCTCACTGAGGTTGACTCACTTGCAACTACTTCAGCCCAATTTTATTTCCAGAGGCAGACTGCCACCTTCACTCTGGTGTGAGGACCGCCTTCTTTAGAAATTCATTTTATTTCAGAGACTTCCAGGTCACTGGCGGAGTAACGCTTGAAAAAAAAAAAATCTATTGCTAATGGATGACAAGCTGTTTAAAAAAAAAAAAAAAGGATGTGGTACTGGTATTTTTTTTCAACGCCGTAAAATTTTTCAGAGTAACATCACGAAGGGGAAACTGGAATAAGTTGAACGTTGAAGATTTAGTACTGTGCAGCACTCTTATTCAAAGTCAAGACTGAAAACTGCTTTTGAAAGGCTTTCATAGTCTCCCTGGCAGAATGAAGCATGGAAAATGAATGGAAGGTTTAGTCCAAGGAGAAAAATGTAGGCAAGAGACATGGGGGCTGGGGCGGAGGGTGGGGGGTTAAAGCTTGTTGCTTTGTTTTTATACAACGGGATCAAAGGACATCACCCACATTGATTGCTTCTGGTTTTACTTTGTATCCTTATTGTGCTTCCATTCATCCTCTCTACCTGATGTTCTGGATACTCTTTTTGTCCTCATTCCTCTCTTGTCACATGCTGAATCATTTCTGCCCGGGATCACCTGTCCCCACCCCCTCTCTCTCTCATTAGATCCTGTGCGCAGTGCAGCCGACATGGCTGGCCGCCACCCATTGTCTTCCGAAAGGTAGAGATGTTCCTGGGAAGGAGCTACCTGGCCAGAGACTACAATTCCCAGCCCCCCTTGCAGCAAGTTGAAGCCAAGTGGCTGAGTTCTTCCAAATGGGCCATGAGAAGAGGGATGCACTCTACTTCCAGATGTGGTGCATTACACCTTCTGCACTCTCATCTTCCGCCTCAGTTGGCTGGCTGTTGATGCCCTGGGCCCCTCAATGACTCCTGCCTTTATCCTCCTTTCTCCCACCATTGGCCTCTCTGTAAGCAAGAAATAAAAGTATTTTGTGTGGTGCCATTGTGAACGTGGGGATTAGTAGCTAGTCTTAACTAACGCATGAGAACGATCAAAATAACCAAAGCCTAGTACTATAATTATTCCAGCCACAAATATTTATTGAGCCATTGCTACATACCAAGCTCTGCGCTAAATCTGGGGGCTAGAAGATAAAGAACACAGATATAATAATCCTCACAGAGCTTACACGGAAGCCACTTAATTTTCAAATCATATTGTCTTCCTAATAGCATTTGTGCCATTGAACTTGACCTGAAAACTCTGAATCAGGAGAGCCATTTATCCTTGTTGTACACATACAGAAACTACAACCCAGACAGGACATGGCACGAATAAGACAAATCCAAATCTCCCTAATACAGCATCCTGCACAACATGGCCTGTGGAGTCACCCACCAAGCAAAGTAGAACTGGCTTCTCCATGAGTCCTACCAAGTCAAGAACAGAACGAATGTTCCCAGCCACTATCACACCTCAGCTGCTCATTCAGTGCCTACACCATGGGTCCGAAGCAAAAAAAAATCAGTGGATGAATGGAGGTCGTTTTTTTAAGACACAAGACTCCAGGGTTTCCTCCTTTGCCATCTCTTTATAAAACTTGAAAAAAAAATGCGTTTTAGGAATCATCTGCATTTAGTCATTTGTTTTTGCGATTTAAAAAAATGGCCTCTAAAAAGAAAGGAAGCATAACTAACTCAGACAAGGGTGAATTCAGATTTGTGACACTTGAAACTTAACTATTTTGGAGACTCTTTTTAAGGAAAAGAACTGCGGTGCCTAGATAGCTTAGTCGGTTAAGTGTCAGACTTTGGCTCAGGTCATGTTCTCACGGTTTATGAGTTCGAGCCCCACACTGACAGCACAGAGCCTGCTTGGGATTCTCTCTCTCTGCCCTGCTCCCCCACTTGCTCTTTTTCTCAAAATAAATAAGCTTTTGTTAAAAATAAGGAAAAGAACATAAAATTACAAAGCAAATTTGGCAAAGGGCTTCAGTAGGGTTCTGGCAAATGAAAGACTGTCAAACTTTAGCTTCATTGGTTTTATGGCAAATCCACACATAAGCCAATGTTGCTGGGTTTTTTAAATCAGGTGAATAATTGAAAGGAGGATTGAGAGTTTTCTAGATATAATTCCACTTTGATACCTAGTTCAGTTAATTATTAATTGGTTGTCTATAACCAGATTGAGCAACAATCCATCAAAACTGTATTTTTGAGTTCCTATTTTTCTGAACCATGTATCATGTTGCTTCTGTTTTGAATATCCATTTGTACCTACTTATGTAAGAGAGGACAACTTGGTTTTTTAAGTGAGACCAGAAATATGGATACTGGAACACAAAGTAATAATGGTGGGAGTCTTGTCACACACTTAGGAAACTTATTTTAGTCATAGTTTTAAAAAAAGTGATATTCCTCTCACTGATGCTGAGACCTATGGAAAAACCACCCATCCCACTGTGTATGTAAATCAGTCAAGCCCAGTAATTAGAAAATATGCTAATTTGGTCCCTGATGTTTACCCCTCCCCCCCACACCAAAGATTTTATTTTTAAAATGTCCCTTTTCCCATCTTCTGAGAATTAATGACCTTATGCTTTGTTGACTTGGGAAAACTCAGTTGCCAAATGAAAATTGTCCACAGTGAAATGTCAGCTTCTAGCTCTTTACATCCTAACCCAGGGAGCAATTAACAGGAACACATGGCTCATCTTCACCACCAGGGGGCTTAGGAAGCCCAGACCTGCAAGCCTTTGCCAGCTAATTATACGGCCGTAAGTTATCCTCTGGAGTAAATTTGTAACCCAGTTAGAAAGCAGGCACATTCCAATAAGTGCCAGTGTAAATGTTGTCCTGTTAAACCCCTAACTAACAGCCACAAACTTGAGTTGACAGTAACAAAAATTTTCCTTCTAAGATCCTAAAAAGTAAAGGGCTACTAAGATATTTATTTTCTAGGTCGTGACTTCCCATTTAATTCAGGCAAAGCTATATATTTCGCTAAATTACATATTCTTCCCATGACCAAAAGTTCAAAACAATATGTTCTATATGATCAACGTGTAGGTAACTGTTGTAATCCCCCCACCCAAATAGTCTGGCAGCACATTTTCTCTCAAACAGTCAACACTTGGTGAACATGATTATCAATCGACAGAAGTCACCTTAAAAGCCAGGCTACCTCCCTGGTCCATGTACCAGAAAAACAAGTCCCAGAAACTGAATAATTTGGGCTTGGTGTAAAAAAAATATTTGCAGCTTACTCAATATCTGAAGAAACATCATGTAAACTGAAAAGAATGGTCCTCTTAAAGGTTCAAAAAGAAAGAGTTCCATTAGTGAAAACACATTTTTTTTCACACCATGTACAAAAGTTCACTTAAAATGTAAAAAGTCACCTACATGTATGAGATAAAACTATAAAATTCTTTGAAGAAAACATAAGCATAAAATGTCATGACCTTGGGTTAGGCAGTGATTTCTTAGATATGACACCAAAAGCACAAGCAACAGAAGAAAAACTTGATAAGCTGACCATCATCAAAATTTTGAACTTTTACATTTCAAAGGATACCACCAAGAAAGTGAAAAGATAATGCACAAAATGAGAAAAAAATATTTGTAAATCATATATCTGATAAGGAACTTGTATTCAGAATACATTACAAACTCTTACAACTCATCATTAAAAAACCAATAGACACAGGGGGCACCTGGGAGGCTCAGTCAGTTAAGCAAGCATTTGACTCTTGATTTCAGCTCAGGTCATGAGCTCACGGTAGGAAGATAGAGCCCTGCACACCAGATTCCAGGTTGAGCATGGAGCCTGCTTGAGGTTCTCTCTCCCTCTCCCTCTGCCTCTGCCCTGCTCGTTCTCTCTGTCTCAAAATATATAAACATTAAAAAAAAAAAAAACGATTGACCTTACTGAAGAATGGATAAAGAATTTAAAAGATAGTTCTCCAAAGAAAATCTACCAATGTCCAATAAGCACACGAAAAGATGCTTAACATCATTAATCATTAGGGAAATGTAGATTAAAGCCACTCTGGGATAGTACTACTTCCCACCCACCAGGATGGCTAAAATTAAAAAGAAAATAGCAAGTGTTGAAGAGTAGATGGAGAAATTGGGACCCTCATACTTTGCTGATGAGATGGTCGAAAGGTGCAGTCATTTTGGAAAACTGGTAGTTCCTCAAAAAGTAATTATCCAGCAATTCCACTCCCAGGTATATACTCCAGAGAAATGAAAACACATGCCCACACCAAAACTCTTACATAAAATATTCAAAGCAGCATTGTTCATAATAGTTGAAAAATGGAAACAATGAAAATGTCTGTCAACTGAAGAATATATAAACAAAATGCAGTAGAGCAGATCCTTCAATGGAATATTATACAGCAATAAGAAGGAAGGAAGGACTAATTTATGCTTCAAGATGGATAAACTTTGAACACATTATGCTAAGTGAAAGAAGCCAGACCAATAAAATAAAGTAAAATAAAATAAAATAAAATAAAATAAAATAAAATCAAATCTCGGGGCACCTGGGTGGCTCAGTCAGTGAAGCATCCAGCTTCTTGGTTTCGGCACTCTCTCTCTCAAAATAAATAAATAAACTTAAAAAAAATGTTTTAAACAAACAAAAAAAATAAATAAAGCCTCACATATTGCATTATTCCATTTATATGAAATGTCCCAAGTAAGCACATCCCTAGCAACAGAAAGTAGATAGATACTTGCCAGACGCTGAGTGAGAGGGGGATAAAAAGGGAATGCTAATGGATCCAGGGTTTCTTCTAGTGATGGCAGCACAGCCTTGTGAATATCCTAAAAACTGCTGAAATTTATACTTTAAAAAGGTGAATTCTATGGTATGTTAATTATATCTCAATAAAACTGTTATTTAAAAAAAAAATGCAAGAACAAAAACTCACTTCTGTTCAGGGAAGAGGGGTGTTCCAGTCACAAGTCGTCTTGGTTAAGGTGATGGATACGATCTTAGTGTGGTGCCACCAGCCAATGATACCTTCCAAAACGTTCTCTTTGCTCTGATTCTGAATAAAACTTGACTGCCCATTTAGGGTTTTCTAACAGAAAATAAACTTGTTATCAGCGGAAGTGAGCATTTTACTCCCCTTTCATTCACACATTTGACAACTACTTTGAGCCTCCTTCGTCCCATGCACTGAAATACACGCATGGCCCAGAACAGTGAACAAGACAGAAGTGGTCTCTCCCCTCTGGCTCTCAAAGTCTGGGGGGTGAGGGGTGGAGGGAGGCTAAAATAAAGGAGAAACCAAATAAATAAACGGTATTCTGCTTCATTGTTTATTGTCTCACAACCTCTCTCCCTAACCAAACTCCTGCCCTGACCTCATAGAACAATTCTCATATCTTTATATCCCACTGTAATTATCTAATATATAGTATTAGTATATATCTGATATATAGTATATATATCAGATATATATTCTATATCTATACTATAGTATAGATATACTATATATTATAATTAGATAATCAGATAATCAGATATATATATCTGATTATCTGATTATCTAATTATCTAATCTAATTATCTAATCTAATTATCCAATTATCTAATATATAGTATTAGTATATATCTGATATAGTATATATCAGATATATATTCTATATCTATACTATATATAGTATATATAGTAGATATACTATATCGATATATAGTATATACCAGATATATATTCATATATATATTCACATATATATATATATATATATTCCATTAAGATAGTACTTACAAGCGCTTAGACTGTGCCAGGCACATAAGTGCTAAGTCATTGTTATTACTATTATTATTACCATTATGATTTCCTCCTGAAGAAATGTTTGTGTTAAGGGTGGTGTTCCCAGCGAGTATGATTTTAAGCCTTGGTATGCTTGGTTTCCCCGAAGGGAGTGAAGTCTCCTGTTGTCTGTCATCACTGAAAGTGAAGGTGTCTGTCAGGACACCGACTATGGTTAAG